TTTGACTTAATATTGTATTTCTGACACTGCCCTTATTAGAGCCTATTCTTGATTGATATTGGCTATTTGTCCTGCATTTATATAATTGTTGTCCCAGATTTCTGTGTCAGAGTCTTGAGGTGCGGTCACAAGGTTAACAGAAAAAGCTTGCATAGGCTGTCAGAAATTCAAACACATGAATCAGAAGCACATTGCTCTTTGTTGTATATTATAATACACGATAAATGGGTAACACAGAAGACTATTTACACATCCTAGCATATCCACAGGTTTACAGGGCTAAATTTTCAAAGAATATGTAAAGTAAAGATAAATATAAAAGGAAACATTTTTATAAGAGCAATTTAAGAGACCAGTCCAATTTGAAATGCCTACGTTTTGCATGCAGGTATGTTCCTAACAGATTATACAGTTGCATCATGGACATTTAAAAATTATCTCACTTGTATATGTAAAAATTGATATCAGATTAAGTGACAAATTAGAGAAAACTTCGCATGACCACTTGTTCCCTTCCCCTTCACCCATATGCATTCTTACTCCAGCAGTATTTATGCATAAGACAGAATGGGGAACAGTGCTGCAATGGATATAATTCAGGGTAGCATCTGGTCCTGTGTGTTTAAAAAATGAGTCTTTTTTCACTTGTATTTGTTTTTTGTAAGAGAGTGGGTTTCATTACGTTTTTGCTATAGTTTAGGTTTGTTGTTGATACATGGTATAGCACCACTGGTATCCCCTTGTTGGGGGTAGAGAAGTGCTTTACAAGCCAAGAGCTGTATTCTGGGTAGCTTCTCTACAAGGACTGGCCAGAATATTATTGACGAGTACAATCTGTGCTTCATCTTTGTGCCCTTGCGTGAGGTGGGTGTCTGAAAAGGGGCAGGTAACTATATCTATATCTATACTTGGAGCTCAGGGTGTGATTCCCAGCTCGCATAGACATAGTCACGATTGCTGTCATCAAATTAGCGTGCTAAAAATAGTAGTATGGCCACAGTATATTTGTGCCAAAATACAAGGTGGTTTTGTGATATAGGCAAATATCTGTTAAGAACTAATATGGCAGCAAATCCATTTTTACTGGTGATTTATTGTAAAGCCAGGTGTATTTCAACTATATTCTGTTTAGGTTCTTGTACTGCTCCTATAACAGTGATATCTGAAAACCACTATGGTAATCTAAATTCAGATTTCTAGAATTAAATTATTCAGATTATGCCCAAAACCTCAAAGGTTATGCGTGCACTACAGGCTAGGGGTATGATTCCCAGCTTATGTAAATGTATTTGGGCTAGCTCTCATCGAGTTAGCATGATAAAAATAGAAGTATAGCCATGGTAGCATGGGTAGCCCCTTCACCCAAGTACATACCCATGAGATTCAGGTGGATTTGCTCTAGGGATAGATAGCCCATGCCTCTGCTCACAGCTGCCTGTGCTACAACAAGTACACTGTTTGTTGAGTGTGGTAGCTCGATGAGATCTAGCATGAGTGTGTCTACACGAGCTGGAAATCACATCCCTACCTGCAAGTATAGACGCAACCAGTGAGCCCATAGCTCTGCCTTTAATCCATGATAACCAGAACAGAAGGGCAAGTATATTGGAACCTCTCCAAATCCGCTGTAGCTGCCTCTCTGTGAGGTTTAGGGGAACCTGAAGAAGGTATTCTGACAGTGTCAAAGAGAATTCCGTCTTGTAAGCTCAGCAGCTGTGTACCCCCACCTCCCCTTCACCACTCTTGGTGGCACCTAGCTCAGGTGCTTACTATGACAACCACGCTTACATTTGGGGATACGATTAGATGAGTGAGTTGAAAATGAATTGAAATGCTTAGGACTTCGCAGATGTGGTGTTATTCAGACATTTCGTAGTTTGTTTTGCTATTGAAAGTATGTGCAAGTGTAGTTGTGTACCCATTTAATTATGTACTTGACTTTTATATTTCCTATGTGCAACGCAGACTAATCTTTGGACATTGTAGTGCAAGGTTTCTCTTGCATTCCTATTTTCTCCAGCTTTAGGAGTGGAATGTTTTCAACTCTGTCCTTTACTGTGTGTTTTTCTCTTACAAAAATTAGCCATTTTAATGGAAATGAGAGAGAGAATGTATTAAATAGACAAATGAACATAGAGACTTTCAAACCTGGAGATTTCAACCTAGGACTCAGGGTAAGTAGCTAACTGCCAGCCCCACTGTTTACATCTTTAAGTGATTCAATGTCCTTTACTGAATCCCAGGCCATTGCTGGGAAAACAAGGTCAGAAAGAAACTTTCTCAGCAGGTTAGATATAAAAAAGGGGAAGATATGTGTTGTTAACCTGGTTACTCTAGCAGTATTTTAGTACTCTCTTAAGGGTAATTATTATTGAATTACTCTGTGTGGGTCTCCAAACATTGTCAAAATATAATATGATACTATTGCTTGCTTTAATTGTTTTGAATTTTCACTGGTATTTTTGTTTCAAGAGCATGAAGTGAAAGTTGCATGCAAAATGTTGATCAGGGCCTCATTGTGTAAAGCTTAGGGGCAGACATAGTCCTATCCCAAAGAGCTAAGACGAGTAACATATAAAATTAGTGGAAGAGGGAGATAATCATATATATTTATGTGTATCTGATTTTAATATCCATACAAATATGTTTGCTTCTTTAGTGTTGCAACTGCATAAATGTAGCCTTTCCCTAACTGTCTTTGACATTGGTTCAGATTCAAAACCAGAAGGGTATTAAAACCTCTCAAGAGTTTGCCAGATTATTGGCAATGTCAAATCAGACACCAAATCCTACCCTTGATTTTCCACACATCCAGACCCTGATCCCTAACCTCAACCTAATTCAGATCTAGATTCAAACAGTCATCTCTAAAATAATACGAGGAATATTTTCATTCATCTGAAAATATCTACTATATCCCATAAGAGACAACCTTTAAAACAGAACTCCTACCCAATGTCTCTTCCAATATCATAAAGAATATCATTTTAAGGAAAGGAATGTCCTTCATTATGGTCTCCTGAAATGAATTATGGATATCGGGGCCAGTCTTAGGTTTTTGCAAGCCTCTATAAGAAATAATACCTGGAATACCCAGCTCCCTCCTCACTTATATCCACATACCCCATTCATCTCTGTATACTCACAACATTCCAATACCCACCTCTTGCCTATGAGTATCACCCCCCCCATGCTGTGGCAAATCTCCCCACCACATTTATGAAGCCTAGTGACTCCTTAAATGAAGCATACATTCAAGAGGTAGAGTAAAAGTGTACATTTCAGTGCAGGGATTGGCAGTTACAAAATTCTGTCTGTTGTGGGCCACTGACACAAGAGTCAGATGGGACCAGGAAAGGGATTCAAGCATTGTGCTTTGCCTAGCAGTCACATTTGTACATCAGGTAGAGCAACATATAGAGGTTGTACAGGACTTAGGCTGCTACTGCAGGTAAACTCCCCCAAAGCATGTAAAAGAACATCATAATAAATAGATGTGTAAATCCCATTAACTGCTTTTCCTTATCATTTTTCATTAACTTACAGTGCATTTTTGTTTGAGCTTCACCCTCCTGGATTTATGTGCAGTTCCTCTGTGATGTGAACCTGAGGCTGAGAAATTTTAGTTGAGTGCAAGAAAAGTTAGATGGGCCACAGGAAATTGTTTTATTTGCTACAAGGGAAAAAGGTTTTCCGAGTTCATGTTTTATACAGTGAAATAATTACTGAGCAGTGACCATCTTCCTTTGTTTCTTGGAATTATCCGTGTAATATTATTAAATGATTTATATCTTGCAAACAGATTATGTCTTATATTGCATTTTTGAGTGAGAGAACATTATCTCTATTTTACAGGTTTTTTGACACTTTTGCATGACCCTGGTCATGCAAAAGTGTCAAAAAAACTGTAAAATAGAGATAATGTTGCATATATTAGACCATTTACGCATATATTAGACCATTTACGTTATATTGCTTATATTAGACCATTTACGTTAACTCAAAAAACTTTCCTATTTACTATCAGATGTTTCCATCAGTCATGCTTATAATTTTTCTCAATTTCCTTACATTCTGAGTCTTAAAAATTTCTTGCCTTTACTATTAGAAGGTGATACATGCCAAGCTGTATTTACATATAAAGCCTTGAACTACAGTTGTTAACATTCTTCTCTGTACATAGAGCCCAATTTTATAGAATTGATAGCAACATTTTAGTATGTCCTAAAGTCCGTTGGGGGAAGCAGTGTACTTAGACAGATGAGTAGTCATCTAAGTTTATGAGACCATAGATACGATCTAGCATTGCAAATTTGTCTTTATGCTTCCGCTGTTTTTCAGATAATATGAAAACCTGTTTATGCACTCATTATACTCCCCCCAAAAATGGAAGGCATATACTGTTACAATTTATAACATTTTCTTGATTGTACATCATTGGTAGATCACTTTTAAGGTAGCATTATATGCTAATCTTAGTTGTATAATAATAAACTAGAGATACATAAACTCTCCTAACTGCAAATATAGACCTCTATCTAGCTTAAGGGATGTGAGTTGAATTTAGCTCAAATGTACTTTAATTCAAATACTGTTCTTGTATTAATACAAAATATATTCTGTACATTGAAATATTTTACCATCAAGCTATGGACCAACATTTTAAAATCCTTTTATAAGAGAATGAAATTATGCTGGCTATTGATTACTAGACCATTACAGCCTTAATAATAGCTTTCAGTTCAGCATTTCCTTGCCTTTTCCTCTGATCTTTTTGAACTATGTACCATATAGCACAATCAATATTGCATATATTAGACCATTTACGTTAACTCTCGAAAATCCAATAGGTCTCCATTTTTAAAGGAAATAACAATTTCGTCTCATTGTGTCCAAAAATTGTAAACCAATTAAAGAAATATTGACTTGGGAAAACAAACAAGAATTTATTATATCCTTTTTCCTTATTTCACATTGTGGTCCCGATCCTGCTCCCATAGAAGTGAATGGGAGTTTTGCTGGCCCTCGGCTGTGGAATTCCCTTCCACCAGAAATCAGGATGACCACGTATCTTGCCACCTACCAAGCGAAAAGTAAGACCCACATCTTTGCAAAAGCCTTTTCACCATAACAACCTAAAAGAATGGCCTGGCATCATTACCCTAAAGATAAGTGAAAGAAATATTTCACCCAAAATAATTATGCACAGTCTAATATGAGGGAAGGAGAAGAATATAGTCCTACAGGTGGTTTGATGTCTTGTGTAATGTTATTGGTACACAGAAACTGCAGTGGTGTGATGCCTATGTAGGCAAATGCAGGATCTCATAAGTAAGGCTCCTATTCTAGACCAAAACAAATTTCCTGATATATTGCTGAGGGATCCAATCCAAAGCCAGATGAAATCTTTTCATTGACTTCAGTGGGCCTTGGATGAGACCCTTGATAAAAAGCTAAGTCTTAATTTAAACTTGAAATCCCTAAACAGACCATTAAAAATAGTATACGAAATGTAGGAATGGAGCTATTCGATTTTTCTCTGACGTGACTAGCAAAGTGTTAAGTCCTAAAATGTATGTGCTGTTTTCTATGCAATGTAAACCGTAGAAATATGGATAAATTCTCTTTAGGTGATATACAACATTCTTTAATCTACACAAATCAGTATCTTATTGTATTCAGTATATTCAGAGAATTACTATCTATTAAGAAAGGTGGTGCATAAAGGCCAAACTCAAAATATTTGTTATGAAATTATATGCACAACATATTGTGAAATGTCAGTGCATAATAAAGAAATCCTAAATGTGTGCGAATAGGCTGAGCAGAAAAGTAACATGAGATGCTCATATGTAAGCACCAAATTCTGTAACCCTTATTCATGTTAAACAGGGCCTATGCATGTGAGTAATCCCACTGAAGACTTGCATGAGTAAATGCTACTCAATACAAGTAAGGGTTTCAGAATCTGGCTTTGTGGATCATCAAAAGATCCCCTAATGTGGATGACAAAAAATTTTAATGTGAGAATTTATATTCTGATTTAGTTACTCTTCTATAGAAGAGATATGAGTACAAAAGCCTTTAAAAAGTTAAACTGTTCTACCCTTTATTTTGTATGATCTAGCATCTTTGAGAATTGTAACCTTTCCTTTAAAATCCTACAATGGAAATGTTGAATATTATACTCATTGCCCCATTGTACATTTTATTATACCTTTGTCATGAACATATATTTACCATGTCCTTAAGGTCAAATGTGCTTGTTGCAATATAATCATTTCTTAACATTCTTGATTTTAGCTACTGAGAGTACAGTTTAGAATGCATTTCCTGTGTCATCTTCTACTAATAAATAGGGCTTCTGAGTTTGGGTTTAGACAATAAACATCAATAGAGCACCCTAATACACAAATAAGTAAATTGAATAAATGAAAATTGGTGTTTACCCAGTAATCACTAGAAAAATACTGGAAATGGTTACTTGTATCTAAAGTCTTGTCTACATGGACCAGTAATGCAGATTACGGGGGTTTGCTTTCTAAAGCACATCAACATGTTGCACTGTGTAGAACCCTACTGGTAAGCACTAAAGCTTCCCTAGTGAGCTTTAATGTAGTGCTCTTTGAAACAGAACTACATTAAAGTGCACTAGGGAACATTACAAAGAGATCTCTCATTACAGTATCTACTTCTGTAATGACTAACATATATAATAGACATTACTCACGACAGTATATACAAAGAAAGATCCCTAAACCCCCCTCTACCCTGATTTTTAGACATGTACATAAAAAGCAAAATAAATCTCAAAAAATGAAATTAACCCCCCAAAACAGAAGCCCTCCTAATAAATGGCTGAGAAAATCAGAATGTGGCAAAAGACTGTACTTCAGACTCAGAAAACAGAGAGTACTCCCATGCATGCATCTTCTGTCTTTTTTGTATATCTTTGTAGGAACCCACAGCATTTATCACATAATGTGTATGCAGTTGATTTCCCTATTTTAGAGGATGAATTCAGTTTTTACAACATGATTCTTTGTCTTCTTTTCATAGGCATTTCCTATTTAAACATGGATCTGGTTCTTCAGCTATCTTCAGTGCAGCCAGTCAGAACTATCCTTTAACATCCAATACGGTTTACTCTCCACCTCCTAGGCCACTTCCTAGAAGTACATTTTCTAGACCTGCCTTCACTTTTAACAAACCTTACAGGTGCTGCAACTGGAAGTGCACTGCTCTGAGTGCTACAGCTATTACAGTTACTCTGGCACTGTTGTTAGCCTATGTTATTGGTAAGCCTTTTATTTCCTTTCTTTACCCTTTCTGTTCAATTACTATACTTGTTTTCACCTTAATATAAATATCATGTTTTACTAATAACATTTGCAGGGGAGTGCTTCATAAATCCCAGAAAGCAAAATACAACCTAGGCCAGGGATTGAAAATAACATGGAACTCTAATTAACTCATATTCTGTTAACCACAAATACTGCCTATTAAAAAAAAGAAATATTATTCAAGACAGCATGTTTACACTAGTTGAGGACTCCCACTGGTTTTAATTGCTGTCATTGACTATTTTCCCTTAAATTAAAAGTTGGTCTGATTTTCACACTGAGTTATAACTTTTGCTGCTACTTCTATTACTTTTAAATAATGTTGATAAAGAACTTTCAATCGGATTTTGCCTTGCTAGCAACATTTAGTTTCTCTAATGTGATCACAAATTAAAACACTGATACTGTCTCCTTAATCTGTTTCTTTGACTAGATTTGCAGCTATCTTTAAATATACTTAATATTTGTGCCATATTTTCTTTATAAGATATATTTTGCTGTTGCTATATTGAATTTATGTTTGATAAAAAAAAATGTTGCACAGATTGAAATGCACTTTTAATTCATTTCAGGCTCATTTTTGCTTAGTAAATAACTCTGCAGTTTTGTTATTACAATGCACTGACAGAATTAATCAAAATGGCTAAACTCTCCTTCCTCCTTTTGGAAGAAGAATATTGTAATTGGGCTTGGAGTCACTGTGATTAAAAATCATACTTACTTGACAGCAAATCTTATTGACTTTCTAGGTGACATTTTAGTTTCACTGAACATTAATTTCCACATTTGGATGGTTTTGTAGTCTAAAATTTGAGTTTTATAAAATATATGAATTCTAAAACATATGACTGTAATATTCTCCAAACAAATGGATTGTTTTGTAGATTTGTGTATACACTCACACACATGCACATACTATTATTTCTTAGTTTATATAGTGATCACTTTATAAGCAAGCAAGAGTTGAAGTATCCAATACATATTTGTGCCTTGAGTATGAATACTAAAAATGGGGTCACCTGAAAGAGAGGGCACCAGTTAGCAAAAAAGTATTCAGAGATGTTTAGGTATACCAGATATCTGCAATACCGCCAAGCATGGCAGGGTCTACATATAGTTTTGCATAGTCATTGGACATACTCTCTTCAGAATCAATAATTACGGGAATCATACCGCAGTACAGATTGGCATTATCTCTTAAAGTGCTACCACCTAAAAAAAAATCAAGTGACTTAGCCCTGGTCTACACTACAAAATTAAATCGACATAATGCAGCTTATGTCAGCTCAACTATGTCAGTGTACATATTACAGCCTTGTGCCCTACTACACTGACATAATAACTCCACTTCCACAAAATGGGTAGGGCTAATGTCGGTGTAGTTAGGCCAACGCAGTGTCCATGTAGACACTGTGTTACCAATCCGCTGTTGGCTGCCATTCTTGTCAATTTCATGGCTCCATGCTGAAGCTGTGAAACTGACAAGAAAGCGCTCTCCACTCCCAGCCAGGCTGCTGCCCAGCTCTCCACTCCACTGCACTGAGGCTCCCGGCTCCCCACTCCCAGAGGAGATCAGGGAGGTAAGAGCCGGGCCGCTGCCCTGCTCCCAGTGGAGAGCAGGGAACGGAGGTGGCAGGCAGCCAGCGGGGAGCCTGTGGGACAGCCAGGCTCCTTGTGGGGAGCTGCAAGCGGACCCGAGAGCCTGGGCTCTCAGCTCCCCACACTGCCCCACTTAGCTTGGTGGAAGCGTTCCCGATGAGGACATGCACCACCGACCGAAAGAGGATAGTGTGGCATGAACCACTGCTGCAGTAATTACTGCAGTGGCTGTAAGTCGACCTAATATCGGTCAACTTAGGTTTTTAGTGTAAACATGCCCTCAGGGGTTATGGGGTAAGAAGCCTTTTTGCTTCTCATTTTTATTTCAAATTTTGTCTAAGTTAATAATGACAACGTCATTAGTTTTTGGTTGGTGCTCAGTGGCTTACATGATGAGTTTGTTTTCAGTCCTCTTTCTAGTAAACAGATTCCATTTTACAAAAATCTCTGTCACCAATGATATTGTCTTTGTCAATCTCTGCAGCAAATTCTTTCAGTGAAGGGACATAGAGGCTGAACTGCCCTCTTATGTCTACCTAAAAGGGTACGTTAGTGGGGCAATGTGGTTTGCATAGCTGCTGTTTTGCCTTGTACTGTTTCCTATGATCTGTAGCTGTTTTGTGACTAAATAGTGGACTTCAGTTTCCAGTATCAAAAAATATATCCCAAGAATTCTTTTTTGTGTCTTTTCCCTCATTTTTGTTTGTTTGTTTTTTTGCATTTGATTGATTAAATATTTTCAATAAAAAATGTAAGTAATATATTTTTCTTGCTGGACCCTGAGAGAGATGAAAAACATCACATTGGTGTATAGAGTGAGAGTATACAGTACACGGTAATTAAAACAATGCTGCCATGTAAGTTTGATATTGATGAAGATCTTGCTTTGTTCTGCAGTGCTAATTTTGCCCAAGGTCCCTACCTCCAACATAAACACTTTTTTTACAGTTTTACAAAATAATGTTTTGAATATAAAACCTGTCTGTACCATAATAATATTAGGGGGTATATTCTAAAGATGTGCCAAAAACTTCACTGCTGTTGAATCTATTGAAAAGATATGGGAAAACCATATTGCTTAGAATTTTCAAAGTGCATTATGGGGTTTGGGTCCCCGAATCCCATTGAATTTCAAAGTGATTTTGGTGCCTAACTCCCTTCAGTGTCATTGAAAATCCTACACATTGATGTTTTCCCCTGTCTTTCCACCAAACACAAAACTGAGTTATTTTATGCCACCACCACCTGAATCCTATCTTGCTCTTTTGGAGCTGTAGTTGGTTGAGTGAAGTGTCCTGCAGCAGCTATCTAGCCAACGTCTCCCAAGGCAGAGTTGTATCATAACTAAACAGCCATTGGAACTGCTTTCAGTTTTCCAATTGAAAATTACACATGCAAGACTCATTTATATGTATTGGAATGAGCAGTAGCCTGGCATCTTGTATGCACAAAGCTTCAATAAGAATGTTGTGTGTGGAAAACTGAAGTGGGAGTTGGCACAATCACTGTTCCAGTCTGAGAATAATATATACCAACGTTTCTCAAATAGGGGGTCATGATCCATAAGCAAGATGCAAAAGTGTGGCCAGAGGAGAGAGACTAAAATAGCTAACGGCTGCTAAGACCCAGAAGGAACAAGCTAAGGAGAAGGAAGGAGGAATAGTTCTTCCTCCTTTCTCCTGTGTCTGCCTCCCCATTGCTGCTGCGGTTTGTCAGTCTTCCAACCCTCCCTTCCAGCGTTTAAAGATAATGAGGTGTCTCCTCCTCACAGCTTCTCACTATCTTTAAGCAATGCTTCCCTGAGGCAGAGAACACTGTAAGTGGATTGATAGGAAGAGGAGGAAAGGGGACAAAGTACCTTCCCTAGCTGTCTCTCAGCACCCTTGCTCAGCAACATACAGCATCAGCTCCCACTCAGAAGAAGGTACCCCCATCCAGCATGCACCATCCACCCTCATCCAAAACCAGCAGTGTTATCTTCTTGTGATCCCAGTTCCCCCATCCCACAATATACTCCTCTCAAGAAGCTCTGTTTAACAAATGCAGCAGCATTCTATATTAACCAAAGTTTCTGACACCTGATTCAATGTGTAGCCCCATTAATTGCTCATTGAAGTAATCTAGCCGACAGGTGACAAATTCCTAGATGCTATTAGCAACAGAAGGAAAGTTTTGACTTTCTAGTCTAAGACAGATGGGAAAGTGGGCTTGGCCACTGCTGGTATGTGATTGTTTAAAAGCAGCTGAGTGTGTAATAAGCTGCCCTTATTGTGAACTTGTGTAACAATTGGAGGGCATATTAGGAAAGTCCATAGATTTTATTTCAACCTCATCTGGTTGCTTTCCTTATCCCACCAATACCATCTCACTTCATCCCTCATCCTGCCACTGGGCAAAGTGCTCAACCACCTTTACTGGAGATTAGAGCTGGATGTCATCAGTACGCTGATGGGTACCATAAGTCCTGCCTCCTTATTAGCCCTTCTAATGTATTCAACAAAGGATGGGATAAGCCCCACAGAACCCCACAAGTGCCTTAAGTGGCCATCTATATTTATCATAGTCCTCCCAACAATGTCTGTGATAGAACATTGCCTTCTAGTTGTGTGAGAAATATGTATTTCTTTAATAGATATTAAATATTCTGTAGGAAGGATAGTAGAGAATAATTTCTCTTTAAATGGAAGAATATCATTTTTTAGACTTGAAAATGTGTGTTAAATTGGGAAATTTCCCAAGATGCATCTATCTTTTTGTTTATCCAGGAAAGTGTTTTAGTTCTAAAAGTTCTGTAGTAAATGCAGATACTTGTTAACTGGGGTATTCAGATTTAATATTCACCGTGGCCATATCTGGCAGATTAAATATTTAAATATGTTCAGAGTCTGCTGTTATGAGTCAGGTTCCTTAATTCTTTTCCTTTGTTAGGGATGAATAATAGCATATAAACTATTTTGAAAGTTCACTTGTTCACTAGGGTTTCATATTTGCATATCTTTTCATGCCAAGAATTTAAATGTTCATGTTTTAAATAAGAGTAGGTGAATGTATGAAAAGATTTTGTAATCATACTCTGTGAAATACTCTACAATTAAAATTCACTCAGCAAATCTTTTCCTTTCACTCACCGTGATTCACATTGGGTTGAATCCTGCAATCCTTACTCAAGGGAAGTTTTGTTAAAGTCTGGGGCAGTTTTGCTGGAGTAAGAACTACATGCTTGGGTCCATACTGTGTAGCGGTATCACTAAACTATGCATACAGAACCTGTTCCTACTCCCAATAAAGTCATTAGCAAAACTCCCATTGACTTCAGTGTTGCAGGATCAAATACTAGATAGAGCACTGGTCTGGGA